CTCCTCCTCCTCCACAAGCTCCTCATGCAGCTTTTGCCTACACTGGCAGTCCCAAGCTTTTCATTCTCAGGACCCTTTTTATACTCTCAAAAAGTGTCAAGGACCCCAAAGTGCTTTTGCTTTCTGTGAGGTACCTCATCAATACTCAGGGCATTAAAAATTGAAACAGAGAAATGATTAATAGCGTACTTATTTAATTACTCATTTAAAGAAATAATAAACCCGTGACATTTCCATGTTAACATAAATTCCATATTTCAATTAAAAATGCAAATATTCTATTTGGTGTTTCCACTTTATGGGAACAAGCACATTTTAAGAAGATCAGCGTTGTTTAACAGCAGCAGCGAATCTCTTTTCTATCTTACTAGATGCTCAGTAGAAGGCACCTGGGTGTCCACATCAGCTTCCTCATCCAATCTGATGTGCTAATCCACCTAAAGCATATGATGACAGTCTGGTTCACCTAGACAGGTAGTTGGAAAAGGGAGAAGTCTTTCATACAATTTTTTCCTATACTGTGCCAAAACCTAACATTTTAATATGTTCCTAAAGGTTAGGTGTAGTGTGAGCTCGGTCACCAAATCAATGAATTTGTTATACTTTATTCCATTAAAACTAGTATTATATCTAATACTTTAAATGGTTCTAGGCCCATGCATAATGTTATGCTTTGCATTGTCCAGTTGGAAAATATTGATTCATTTAGTTACATCTTGAAAATCACTCAGTTCATGGTACAGTATCAAAAAGTCATATTCGTTGATACCAGCAATGATCTCATCAGAAAATCTTTTGTGTACTGAGATGCTATCAAGCTTACAGTATGAATGGGAGTTTTCCTAAATGCTAATCTTTGCTTGAAAGTTCAACTACTGTCAATGGTGGCAATAAATGTCAGTTGTCTACAGTAAAATAGCAGGTTCGAGCCAGAGAGATAGCTCAGCAGACTACAGCGCCCGCTTAGGCAAACCCAGGCAAGAGCAGAGAGCATGGTTTGATCCCCAGTGTCATATGCCACACCAGCCCCACCCCCAGGGCAGGCTGAGCCAGCCAGAGTCCTGACGTGGGGCGCACGCCTACAATCCTAGCACTGGAGAGGCTGAAAGCTGGAGGATCACTGAGAGTCTGAGCTGCGTAGTGAGACCCTGCAACAAACAAGTACATTAAAAAATAATAATAAATAAATAAAATGGCAGGCTCACTTTGATCACTTTTAAAGTACATATTCTTATATATTTAAGATATACAACATGATGTTTTAATATACACATCCATGGTGAAATAACACTAGCCGAGTCTCTTAATATATCCTTCACTTCATTTTTTTTTGTGTACCCTAAAAATCTATTTCTCAGTACACTCGCACAGCAGAATACAACATGCGGTGCTTTGGGTCTTGAGCGTTCCCCCAGAGCCCCTAGGTTAAAGGTGATGCTACAAGAAAGTGGCAGAACTTTGAGAAGACAGACTTGGCGAAGCAGGTTAGGTGCCTGAGGAGTTTCCTTGAAGAGAATATTGGGATCCTTGCCCCTCCTCTTGCTCTGCCTCCGGCTGCCCTGAGGTCCCCACCCCGGTGCATTCTTGCTGCCATTCAATCTATGCTGCCACAGTTCCAAAGTGACAGGGCCAGAAGTGACACGACCTGGCACCATGAGCTAATGAGTGTCTTCCCTCTTTAGAAAGTGTCATCCCAGGTATTTTCTCACTATGAAAGAATACTGACTAACACAGATACTGTCAGCTGTGGTCTTTGTGCCGTGCTTTCAGTCTCTAGATGTTCTAACGGTGCGTGGGTGGAGTTTTGTGTCTTGTGGCCCGCACGTGCTGTCCCTGACTCTGTCCTCACTTCTGGTAGCCACAGTTGTGCTCTGCACTGAACAAAATGTTTACAAACCCAACACCACATCACTGTGATTTGATGCTAAGTCATAGAGATGGTGTCCCATGAAAAACAGTACTTCGCTCATGTGGCAATCCACCATGGTCCAAACGCTCTACTCAAGACAGCCTCAAGGGCTGGGGCTGTAGCTCAGTGGCATGAGTGCCTGCCTGGCCAACAAAAGGTCGTAAGTTCAATTCCCAGTACCGAAAAAAGAAAAACCCAGGTCTATATCTTGGTCTGTAAGACAACTGTCACCCCTCCATACACAGTAGAACCACTCGTGCTTCTTGTTTTGTTAAAAAATACATACTCAAGGGCCAGTTCTTGCCAAATTAACAACTTTTACTAACTCAAAAGGAAAACACTAAATTAAATGACTATTTAAAAAAAAGAACTGCTCATGTATTGATACACAGGGGCTAATTTGTGCGAAGGCGCGAGCAACTGCACGCCCCACCTCTGTTACAGCATCAGTGCAAACGAAACAGGAAAGACAGCTGACCTCTTGGTGTTGCTATTAATACAGCATTAACCTCCTGAGACCCCTGAAGAGCCTTGGGGATGCCTCCCTGAGGACTTGGTGAGCCACAGTTTGAGATCCGTCGGCCTAATTCACGGCCTGAAACAGGAGGAAGAATAGAAGATTCTATAATAACAATAAGTATAGCAACACATTTTCATGAGAAAACTTGAAAGAATGCCAGAGATCCCCCTACAGTTCTCACTAGTAGTACTAAAACTCCAGAAGCTGTGTTAAGTATTTTTTTAAAAGCTTATTTAAAGGTGAAAGAATAAACATAAAAATGTATCACGGGAACAAAAATTCAGTCATGCACTATGTGTGTGGCCTGTCCAGAAGACATGCATTGTATGCATCCAAAATAAACAATGATTTTTTCAACACATTACAATGTCTACATCCCAAGAGTAACGCTGCAGTCTGACTCTGAACAACGTGTGTGGGGGTCAGCTTGCATCACTCATTCATACTGCAGAAAGTATTAACTCAATTGTGGCCTTAAAAGAAAATAACACATTGTCCAAGGAAGGAAAACAGTGGCCAGATCAGTGGCACATGCCTGTAGTTCCACTCAGGAGGCTGAGGCAGGAGGGTCGCTGCAAGCTTGAGGCCAGCCTGGCCTACGCAGTGATACAAGTCGACCCTGAACTACACAGCAAGACCCTGTGTTGAAAAAGGAACAAAGAATATGACTTCAGGAAAGCTCTTGCCAGAAGCAGAGCAGGCCAAACAGCTGAGCTTTTGGCTTTAAAATCCGCCTGTGCGTTGGCATTGCTCCATCTTCCGAGGCCCCACCCGACCTCCAGCGTGTACACTAGGGCTTCTCTCCCTGTTTCATCTTGTGTACTTTTTTTTTTTTTAAAGTACTTTTCAACAGAAAATTTAGTAAAAAGTGAAAGGGGAAGCAAACAAAGCACAAACGACATAAGATGAGCAAGGTTTCTGCCACCGATAATGTCTGTGCTCTGTCCCTCTGTCCAGATGCCCTGCAACCTGCGCCACTTTCCCCCCTTGTCCACAGCTGCGATCCTCCTTCAACTAGACACAATCTGAACTCAAGCCTTCAGCCTTCTTCTCCTATTATTTTTCTTAAATTAATTAATTAATTTTTAAAATGTATTTGGTTGTTGCAGGGTCTCACTCTGCAGCTCGGACTCGCGGTGATCCCCCTGCTTTCAGCCTCCCCAGCACTGAGATTACAGGCATGTGCCTCTACGCCCAGACTCTAGCCAGCTCTGCCCAACTTGGGAGACGGGGCTGGCACAGCATGTGGTGCTGGGAATTGAACCATGGGCCCTGAGCTTGCCTAAGCTCACCTAAGCAGGCACTTTAGTCTGCTGAGCTCTCTTGCCGCCCCCTTGTATTCTTTATGACTATCATTAAGAAATGAGCATGAAGACACTGTAAACTGATTTCAGCTTCTCTTAGTTAAAACAGATTATGTGGGGGTATACTTTAAAAGGATGCCTCCTGAAGAAGCAAGAAAAATCTGATAAATACTTACCAAGTGAGCAAGAGACTCTTCTATAAGAGGCTGGTGGAGGGTGTGAGTCCCTCCCTGCACAGCAGCTTGGACTTGACAGGACTTGGGGTGCTTATGGATAGATCCAGATAACCCGATCAAACAGAAGAATAGGGGCTCAGCATCTCTGTTAGAGATACTTTCTCTGCTCACTGTTCTCACACTCCATCCTTGTTCTTTGTGTTTCTGTAGAGTGGAGCCTGCTCCAACCCTCCCTCCCCAAAACAGTCGGCCCCAGAAGAAGGAGGGGCGGTTCAGCATGCTCAACCAAATCTTCTGCAAAACCAAGAAAGAAGAGCAGAAAGCCCATCAGCAAGATCACAGAAAGGACAGGGCCAGTGGAGGGGACACCCCGGAAGTCGATGACATCATCGCCACCATCCTGGATACCAACTGCCAAGAACAGCCTGGAGACCAGGTGGCTATGGTTGTTGACCTTAAGAAGAGGACCTTGGAGAACTCAAAGTATCTCTTGCCAGAAAAGAAACTTCTGGCCCGTAAGGGGCTTCCACCCATCAGAACCCAGAGTCTCCCACCCATTACCCTGGGCAATAATTTCATGACAGCTTCCCATGGGGCCATTTCCCAAGCTGCCCTGAGCCCGGGTACTCAGCATACTGCCCAGCAATCTCCGAAAAGTCGAAGTGAGCAAGATTTATTAAATAACAGGACTGGCTGCCAAGTGTTTCTAGACAAGCCCTGGAAGGGTGATTCCAACCAGGTACTTGCCTACAAAGCTTGGACCATGTCTTCCTCTGAGAAGCTGCTGGACAGGCTTCTTGCAGGCCGCCCAGGCCACCAGGAGCTCTCCGGGCCACCGCGTCTTCCTCACCTGCACAACCCTCTACCTGGTAATGTCTTTGCTTCCCTCTTCTTCATTCCTGACAATGTCTATAGGGAGGCGTCTCACGACTTTCTAGGCTAGGGACTGGAAGGCCAGAGGCCTAGACGGCAGGGCATGAGTCGGACAGATGAGTAAGGCCACTTTTCTGTTGCGTTTCCAGCCTGTCACCGAGTTGCAGTTTTCTGGGCTATGGAAATATTCTGTCTTTCCACTCTGAGAGCAGTCAGGTTAACATGCGTGATGAGCTCGCTTATCTTCCCGGCAAAGAGCCGCAGTGTCTACTAGCTTGGAATAGAGATAATATTTCAGCTGGAAGGTGTTGTTAGCCAGCGATGGGATAGCGCAGTCACCTCAAGGAACTGATTGGTTTGTGTGACTTTTAAAATCAGGCATTCGGCCCCCACCCCTGACCTTCTGAGCCAAAATCGTGGTGAGGGAGGAGGGAAAATGAAGATCCTCCTTTATGCATATAAGTGACACACGTGTTCATTTATAGTTTCAATGTTCACACACATACACACACACACACACACACTGAAAGCTACACAGCAACTTTCACTCTTCTCTCAGTACCTAGGGCTTCTCATACAATGCTAGTCATTTTGAAAAATTTTTCCAGAGATTTTTCACATCTATGTCTACATTTGTGCATATGAAACATGTATACACCCCTTTTAAATAAATGCATCACAATGAAGAATTTAAATTTTATATGTGTGTGTGTGTGTGTGTGTGTGTGTGTGTGTGTGTGTGTTCTCTTCCTTATAAGTACATGCATCACAATAATTTTTTTCTGTACTGGGAATTGAACTCAAGACCTATACGTGATAGGAAGCACTCCACCACTGACCTTCATCCCCAGACCACAATAAATCACCTATTTTAATCTTTAAAAAATGACTCATATGTGATTCCAATGACCTTCAGAGGCTAGGAATGTCTGGGGCTGCAAAGCAGCTTCCAAAACAATTCTGGCACGTAGGACCTTGGTTTGCTTTGTGCATGACTTAATCACCAATTTGAAAAACATAACATTTTATAAAAATGTAAACATTCTCACTTCTCTTAAGAAAGCTGAAACCTGACAGCAATGAAGGTGGCAACCATGGACCACAAATGGGTGGCAACTATGGGCCACAAATGGGCAGCCATTGAACCCTTGGACACCGATGCTCTGCGGGGCAGACTCATCCACACCACCTGTTGTCAGATGTTTCCATTGTGGAAACATGTTTCCCAGAGTAAGGTTTCTCGACCCACTGAACACATAATTCTGCCATAATTAAAAAATGAAAGACCAGAGGGTCTTTCTTTTTTTTTTTTTTTAAGTAGAAGAGTGGGGCATGTATTTTTTAGAATGCGGAGTGTCCCTTCTTGTCTAATATGCAGGGTGGGGACTCTTCTCTTACTGTTGTAAGTCTGGTCTGTGAAGTCCTCAAGGTAGTATGCGATCCCCTCCCATGTATTTATACACATTTAAGCACAGGATAAACATAGTTGAACACATTGAGTCACTTTCCTAATCTGAAATAGGCTTCACTCAAGGTTTGCATCTTCCCCAAAGCATGGCAGCATTTGGCTGGCGGCTGCTAATGTTTTGCATCTCACCTGAGGAATAAGGATGGGAGCACATGGCTCTGCCACCTGTTGTCACTTTAGTGTCCTCTGATACCTCCACCCAGCCTCATTTTTGAAGTGAACATTGTCCAGGCTAAGCTAATCTCCTCCTCCTCTTCTTCTTCTTCTTCTTCTTCTCCTTCTTCTTCTTCTTCTTCTCCTTCTCCTCCTTCTCCTTCTCCTTCTCCTTCTCCTTCTCCTTCTTCTTCTTCTTCTTCTTTCTCCCTCTCCTTCTCCCTTCTCCCTCTCCTTCTCCTTCTCCTCCCTCTCCTCCTCCTCCTCCTCCTTCTTCTTTTTTTGTACTGAGTCAAACTCATGACCTTACTCTTACCAGGCAGATGCTGTGCCACTGAACTATACCCCTAGTTCAACAATATCTTCTTTATTTGAAAACTTGAAGGTCTTTTTCTATTCCATACAGTGTTGGGATGTCTCTGTTATATGAATTAGGATTGAATTCAGCTACCTATAACAAAAACTCAGAGTCACAATTGGTTCCACAACAGAAGTTTGCTATATTTATTACTGAAGTAGGCCCATTTGTGCCCACTACAGACAACATCAATCGTTGAAATAAGTTTTTCAATTGAAAAAGAGTTTATTCATAAGGCAGATAAGCATGGCAGAGGTGGGAGACCCAACTTTTAAATCTGTCTCACCAGTGATAGTGTTTGTGAATATTTATGAGCTAAAGAAATAGGCTAGTTTAAGGAATGGGGAAAGGTGATTGGAGGCAAAATCGATATTCTGTACATCATAATCAGTCTTCATGGCTCTTCATGGAATGCATATTCAGAAAGTAACCGCAGTAGCATGATCGAAGGCCTTCTGATATTAAAAAGTCACCCATGAACATCAGCATAGGCCCAAGGTTTGGTGAAAACAAAAGTAACCTTCAAGTTCTGAAAAGTAACCTTGGCAACTGTTACCATCACGACCCAAAAGCCACAGTTCTTATCTATAGCAAAGCCAGTGAGTGACTAATAATATATTGTCCAGCTGTGTAACCTACAAAATTAGCAATTTTCAAGGCCAACAAAAAAGTAAATAACCAAGGAGAAGCATAGAGGTTCAGAGCACGAGAGGTAGAAAATACAAAGGATTGGCTGCTGTAGTTGGCCGGCTCTGTGTGTGGTTGGGTAATTATCAGAGGTGGGAACCTGTCCACCCACAGAGTCTTGGAGAGAGAGGTCTCACTGTACTGGTGATTATGCTCTTAGGACCTAGAGAGAGGTGCTTCTGAGCAATGAGAACTACATATTTACGATTTCAAATTCCCCTTTAGGTTACAGTCCAGTTGTGGCCATCACACAAGGGCTCAGTTTTATTCTCCTGTGAAAGAAGTTGGAAGTAGGCATCTCCCACGATGTGGTGCTTCCTTCTGTCTGTGTGCTCCATAACCGAAGCTATGGCTTCTACCACTGCCCCCGTGACTTCAGTCAAGAGGAAGGAAGGGAAGCTGAGGGAAACGCGTGTTCCCCTGCTGAATCAGCTCCCGTGAAAAAGTCCCTTACGGCCCACTTCTGCTTGCTTCTCATTGGCTCAGGTTTTTGTCACAAGTCAATACCTAGATACAAGAAAGACTGGGGATTTTAGCCTTTATTTATTTATTTGTGTGTGTGTGTGTGTGTGTGTGTGTGTGTGGCCAGCTCAGCCCACCAGGGGGCGGGGCTGGCTGGCATGTGGGACTGGGGGATTGAACCGCGGTCCCTGTGCTTTCCTAAGCTTGTTCTAAGTAGGTGCTTTAGACCACTGAGCCATCTCACCAGCCCCTGGGGATTTTAGTCTTTGAGCTGAGCACCTTATTGTCTTTCCAAAAATCAGATTTCTGCTTCTAAGGGAAAAGAAATAGAAAAGTTGTAGATTCCATCCCAGATGCCATCCAAGAATTGCTATTTTGTTTGAAAAGAAAGGGCACCAATGTGAACTTGGTTTGGGGATTTGTTTAGTTCCCGAGGAAGTAACTGGAAAAATCCTAGGGCAGCAGAACAGCCCAAAGAACGAGGTTGAAGTCTCCAAAGCATTCTTAAGGAAGCATCTGTGTTTGTATCAGTGCATTTTCTTTTTCAATCAGAATTTTTTTACTGCTGATTATAAGTGGGAACCATTCAAGACAAGTGAATCATGCTAAGATAAATCTCCAGAGTCTTCAGTCTATAAATGAGCTTTAAAGGATATGGATTTGCTAAAATAACTCAGTGATTGTGCAAATGACTTTTTTTTGGAGTTGCTAGAGATCAAACCCAGAGCCTATGCAAGTGCTTTACAATAAGCCCAGCCGCAAACTGACTTTAAATCGACCTTCTTCTCATGTTGAAATGCAAAGGCAGTAAGGTTTGTAATGGAATGGATCTTAGCTATCCAATCGCCCATTATGTAGTTCTGGAGTGTTTCTCATACTAATTTACCAGGAGGCAGTGTACAGGAGCAGGTAGGAGGCAGATTCTAAAATGAGAGTTCAAACTCCAGTTATGCCACTTACTTACTGATATTTAACCTCTCTGAGCCTTTGCTTCCTCATCTGAAAAAAATGAGAGAATAATACCTAACTATAGGACTGAAAGTAGCCATTAGCATTAAATGAGTTGGGACTGGTAAGATTGCTCAGTGGACTAAGAGCCTGCTTAGGCAAGCACAGGGTCCAGGGTTTGATCCCCGGCACCACATGCTGTGCTGGCCCCATGCCTGGGCATGCTGAGCTGGCCACTGAGACCAGGCACAGTAGTGCAAGCCTGTAATCCCTGCGCTGGGGAGGCTAAAAACTAGAGAATCACAAGTCTGAGCTGCGTAGTGAGACCCTGTACCAACTACATTAAAAAAAAATTTTTTTAATGAGTTGATACATGTTAAACAAGACAGTGATTTGCACATAATAATTTTTTGTTGTTGTTTTTGGTTTTTATGAGCCAGCATCTTACTATGCACTTCAGGTCTTGATGACCTCGAACTTGCAGAGATCCTCCTGCCTCAGCCTCCTGAGTGACAGGATTACAGCCCTGTGTCAACTCACCCAGCAGATGACCTTTATTTTAAAGATGATGAAATGTAGGTCAAATAGAGTGGGGTATCACTGCAGTCTCAGCTACTTCTGAGCCTGAGGCAGGAGGACCCTTTGAGCCCAGGAATTAGTAGCCAAAATGTTGAAAGAAATAAAGGAAGGGAAGGAGAGAGAGAAGAAAGAATGGGGGGAGAGAGAGAGAGAGAGAAGAAAGGGAAGATGAGGGAGAAGGGAGAGAAAGAAAAGGGAGAAGAGGGAATTATGAGTCAGCATACCAGCCTTCTGCTTGTCTTCTCCCTGCTCCACTCTGTCACGGGGAATCATGCTTCCTGGGCCTTCTTGCCAGCTGGCTTCCGGGTACTTTTAGCCAATAGGAGGCACTAGCAGAAACT